TGTTTTAATAGATATGTTGCATTCTTTTATGTTGCATTTGTTTAACTCTGTGAAGCTGTGTTACTTTACCTGTCTAAAACACCTGATGATCTAACAAAGAGCTGAACGGCCAATAGCAAGGCAGGAGGAAGGAGAGTTAGGGCTGGCAGGCAGAGAGAATAAATAGGAGAAACCTGGGAGAAAAGGAAGACGGAGCAAGAGAACAAGGAGAGGAGGATGCTAGGGTCCAGTCACACAGCCAACCACGGAGTAAGACTGAAAGTAAGATTTACAAAAGTAAGAAAAGGAAAAAGCCCAGAGACAAAAGGTAGACAGGATAATTTAAAGTTAAGAAAAGCTGGCTAGAAACAAGCCAAGCTAAGACTGGACATTTATAATTAAGGATAAGCCTCTGTGTGTGATTTATTGGGAGTTGGGTGGCAGGCCCCCCAAAAGAGCAAAAGTAACCAACAACACGGTGTTTTTTTTAAAATGCACCAGGACTTTCTCCTACCTATAGCATGTCCCCTTAGCCAAGTGCCTTTAGTTCTCTTGCCCACCCCACATTCCCAACATGCCCTCTGACCTCTGTGCAGAGGTAAACCCCACTATTCCTTGTCTGAAGCTCAGCACTTCCTATAGGGTTTCCCATGAGACTTGATTGGAGATGGGTATCCACAGAGAAGTCAGCCATACTTAGCTGAAGCATGTGTTTATAAGCCTGCCCCTATACCCCTGCCTCCTGCCCTGTTGAGAGTTACTGTCTATTAGCCCCAGCATTGGGAGTTGAGGATTTTCCCTGGAAGATGAGTGTGCTATTTGGCTTTCTATGTAACAAATAACCCTGGATGGGGAGCTACCAGTACCTGCTTTGTTGTTTACTTGCTTCCCAGGTGAGAAACCTTGGCATCTGGAAGTGAGTTTGCTAGGGAGTCACATACAATGCTCACAGTAGGTTGCCTGTTGGGATCTGGTTGGGATCTGTGAGACAGATGGAAAGGCCTGAGCAGGCTGGATTCTAATATTCCACACTCACATTTCTGAAGTCTGTTCTGAGAAGGTTTCTGTAAAGAGTTCCCTTCTCCAACACAGACAGCTTGTTGAGTCTTCCCACATAGCTGGTTTCCTCAGCAGTCAGAGGACCCATTCCCTTACAAGAATCCAGGAGGTGTGCCTGTGCACTTCAGTTTACTTGATCAGAAGAACCATCACCAAAGAAAGAGGAAGCCAGACCTACCCTGTGCTTGATGATAGTGTATAATATTTGCATGTTCAAGCTTTTCTGTTTCTCTTTAATTAATGCAATTGTCGGAGATGTATTGATTTGCTGGGACCTGGACCCAAGACTGATCCCACCTTCCTAGCTCACCTCGGACATCAGATGTGTCTAATACCATGGAGGCTTCAAAAATCCATGCTGCTTGGTGAAGGAATAACCAGGACTTGGGATGTGCCTCCATGGTAGAGCATCTCCCTGTAATCTCCCAGGGAGTGTCTGGGGGGTGTGAATCTGTGGGAGAGCACTGGTTTAGCATATAGCATATGTAGCCGTAAGTTTTCTCAGGTCCTGCCTGGCCCCATGGGTCTGCGTTCCTCTGGCCCCACCTGGCTCTGCGGCCCCTCAGCCACTTATAAAACAATCATTCAAAGCCTTAACATTAATTACCAATTGCATGGCCTATGGCAGGCTTCTCGCTAGTTAGCTCTTATAGCTTAACCCATTTCTATCAATGTATAGGTTGCCACGTGGCCGTGGCATTACCGGTCTGCTGGCATTTGCTGCTCCTTCAGTGGTGCCTGGTGTCTCTCCTCCTTTCTGTATAGCTCGGATTTCCAGCCTGCCTCCAAGTTGCCTTGCCATAGGCCAAAGCAGCTTTGTTCATCAACCAATCAGAGCAACACATATTCACTGCTAACAGAAAGACATCCCAGAGTAAGCACAGTTGGCCCTGGTCCTGAAAACAAACAAGCAAGCAAACAAACCCCAGGAGACTCCTAACATGGGAAAATTTTAACATTACTCAGTGATACTTAAGTAGCTTCTGACCATGTCAAATCTGATGGGACTTCTCTCTTTGTGTCTCTCGTGACACAGGTACAAGTCCCTTGAATGTTTTCTGTGTTTAAGGGCCTCCAACAGATAAGATAAAAAAAAAAAAAAAAAAAAAAAAAAAAAAAAAAAAAAAAAAAAAAAAAAAAACCAAAAAAAAAAACAAAAAAACTTGCTCCTTGGTGCTGGAGAGGGGCTCAGCACATACACCGATGGCATTGCAAGCGGCTGAGATGATCTTCTGAGCCCATATGTAAGAGCAGGATATGGTGACAGGCCCTCGTCATCTCAGAGCTGGGGAGGCAGAGACACGTGTCTCTCTGCAGCTGGCCATCTTAACGTTGCACAGGTTAGTGGAAGGCCCTGACTCAAGAAAACCAAGTGGGAGGCTCTGGAGGAGGGGCACCCAGGGTTTTCTGATCTACATGCGCATCCCCACAAGCATGCACGTGTGTCCCCCCTGCCCCCGCACATTCAGCATAACACACACACACACACACACACACACACACACACACACACACACACACACCACAGAACACAAAGTAAGAACCTGCCCAGCAGGTTTTATCTTGTCAATTCAAAGAGCCTGTGTGGGTGGGGTGCAGGAGAGGGGAAATCTCTCCCAGCACTTTCTGCGGGGCCTTCCTGGGGACACAGAGGTTTCCATTCTTCTAGCCTGATATCAGGTGGCCATAGGGCCTCTCAGGGCTCAGTGGACAGACAAATCAGGAAGTCATTTCTAAGGTTCTTTCCAGCTGTACCACCAAAGAGCATTATGATTTATTTGTCAGGCTAAAAATACGATTCTCAGAACAGGAGCACCATGTATGTAACTTGATTACGTCCTCCGCTCTTTGATAACTGCCTTTATTTAACGCCTAATTTTACTCTAATGGTGTGTTATCATCATTTGGTGGTCCAAGACACAGAGAAGGCAGAGGGTCTGCTGAGACTGCACAGCTCTCACCAGGCTTCCGAACTGGCCTCCCTGCAGCACCTCCCATTATTAGTTGTATTTTTAATTGGGCAGCAGCCTCTGCTGAGCATCTATGCTTTTTTTAATTACATCCTTATTCATGGAGATTTCTTCCTCATGCCCATAAGGCATATTCCTACCTGATTACTGTATGAAGGAAACTAAACAAAAATGCAAATGGACTGTAGCCACACTCCCATGGCTCTGCTAGTTTTCGTAATTAGGAATGTCTCATGGACATTCCTTCTTGCAATTTAAGTGTTGCTGGCTGCTTGGTGCAAATATTATTTTTCTGTGTCCGGATTTCCCCTGCGTTTTACCTGCTGAAGCCCATCTAGTCAGTTTTGCAGACAATAAGACAACAGTCCAGATAGAGCTCAATCACAGAAGGGTTTGCCGGTCGGTGTCAACTTGTCTCAGAAGGATCCAGGAGCTCTTTAGCCTCCCTGCTTCCCTGACTGTGTGCGTCATTACGGTCTTTCCTCTACTTCAGGGGCTTGGCACTCTTGGTCCCTCCTCATCCTGAGAAACATGGCAGGGCCCTTGGCTAGTTATGAGTGGTCCTAGTTTCTAGAAAAGGTAAAGAAGAGAGACAAAGGGCTGATACTCATGGCCATCCCCCTGCCTCATTCCTCCTCCCCTCTGCCTCTTCATTCTCTGTAGTAAAGTTTTACTAAAAATGTGTTTACTATGATGCCCATCTGTCACTATCTCCTGAGGAATCTGATGGTACAGGAGAAAAAAGGATGTTCATATTTATGCACAGAGCATTTTACTAAGAAAACATTGAGTTCTGCAGAACTTGGTAGCACACACCTATAAGACTAGGACTCGGGAGACTGAGGCAGGATGGTTGAGGCCATCATGGACTATTTGGTGAGCCTGAATTAATTATACTGTGAGACCCTGTCTCAAAACCCCCTTCTCTGGAAAAAAAGTGTTAACATTCAAGGGCTGTGAACTTTTCTGGAGGTGAAAGTAGCAATATGGGCTCATCTTAGAACCCATTTCTTCCTGGTAGGCCCCTGGGTTCCTGGGGTCACTGTGGGGATCAAGTGTTTCCAGGTTCTTAGAGTCTTATTCAGAGACTGGTGACATGTTCACTGATTGTGATGTGACAAGCACACTTTATTCAGAAGCAAACCAAAGGAAAGTCCAGGCAGGCTGCAGGAGAGCAGCCCGGGCTTGGGCTAGAGTACTTAAGGGCTGGTTACTGATCTGGGATGCCTTCCTTGGAGCCAGGAGGAGGAGGAAGAGGAGGAGGAGGAAGGAGGATGAGGAGGGGGAGAGGAGTAGGAGGAGAAGGAGGAAGAGGAGGAGGAGGAGGAAGAGGAGGAGGAGGAGGAAGAGGAGGAGGAGGAGTTGGCTGCTCAGTGCTGTTGTGAAGGTGGTCACTTCCTTGAGATCTCTTCAAGGGATGCCTCCTGTTCTCCAGCTTCTCCCATGTCCTAGCCCTTGACAGCTGCATGTTTGGCCTCCTCTGGGTCTGCCTTAGCTCTCTGCAGATGTCCTCGTCCACTACTGGCTGCACAGCAATCGGCCGTGGAGGCCATGGTCTCCATAGGAGCAAGGTCTGTGGTGTAAAGGACAGTTCCTGAAGAGAACCACACCTTCTTCCTACCCTCCTACCCTTCAACTCTAATTGACTGATTAGAATCCTGACGCTGGGTAGAGGCTGGGATGTCACAAGCAGGAGACAGGTGGTTTTTTTTTTTTTTTTTTTTTTTTACTTTCTCCAGTCTCCTTGATAGCCATTTTTGGCCCTCCTCTGTGTTGCATGGCATCTTTGCCACCATGTGTAAGTCCCTTGGAGTGCAGGAAGAGATCCCTTGTTTCCAATCAATCAGAGGACCAAGAATGCTGTTGGCTTCTGGGGCTTCTAGCAGACTTTGCTCTCACTTGACTGTAATGTGCCTTGCTGACGTTTCCACCAAAGTATTTGAAAAGCACTTTGACTTATGACTTTGTTCTGTTACTATAAACCCTTTCTCAGTACCTACCTGTCAGGGGAGATAACATGATCAAGAAGGTGTTCCCCCCTCCACCCCCAGGGTGAGACTTATCTGTTGCACTTGAGATGTGCTGACTCCTGTAATTTCCCCTAGTGCGGAAATTCATCTGCATAATTTGTGGTAGTGGGGAACTACATTTACACTCTTCCCTGAAAATAAAAATCAAAAAATAATTAAAAGCTTCATCAAGCTGTTACCACATTGGGACAAGGAATTTGGGTAACCTAAATCTGTATTTCCTGGCTATGGTCTTTAGCTCCAGAATAAACTCTCTTTAAGGGTGAGAGTTGTGCCTTTTGCATTGACGTTGGAGGTAGAAAGGAAAGGGCTTGGAGGCCAGGACGGGTCTTCATGACGGCTGCGCCTTGCGAAGCTGGGGGGAGCGATTATTGTGGGACCCATCGTGTCCAGGCGACCAGGCTATCTCACTGTGGTATCACACACTGAGCAATAAGGGTGGAGGATAGAGGTAGTGGATATTGGTCATCAGACAATTTCTAAATGATCATGTAGAGAGTAGACCCAGGGCAAGCAGAAACCCAGTAGAACACTCCTTTTGGGTGTATGATGGCTAGGTGGCAGCGAAGTTGGTAGACGTGGTGTGAGTGGCACCAGAGGCTATGACTTGCAGAGTAAGCCTCTGGGCCTCGCTGTGGGCGGGAGGAGAGTGCTGTGGGATGTTCTGTATGGCAAATGTGTTGCTGATTAGTCAATAAATAAAACACTGATTGGCCATTGGCTAGGCAGGAAGTGTAGGCGGGACAAGGAGGAGAATAAAGCTGGGAAGTGGAAGGCTGAGTCAGAGAGACACTGCCAGCCGCCACAATGACAAGCAGCGTGTGAAGATGCTGGTAAGCCACGAGCCATGTGGCAGGGTATAGATTTATAGAAATGGATTAATTTAAGCTGTAAGAACAGTTAGCAAGAAGCCTGCCACGGCCATACAGTTTGTAACCAATATAAGTCTCTGTGTTTATTTGGTCGGGTCTGAGTGGCTGTGGGACTGGCAGGTGATAGAGATTTGTCCTGACTGTGGGCCAGGCAGGAAAACTTAAGCTACAGGAGAGGAGAGGAAAGGGAGCTGCGGTGGCCACATCTGGTTCATCCTGGCTGCTGAGGCTGGCTATGTCTGCAGGGTGGAGGCTGCCAAACCATGAAAGGTGCAGACCTACAGGTGACACTAGATGTGCAAGCGGACAGCTGAGATATTCGAGCCTCCAGTTCTGCAAGAACACTGGGCCCACGAGGCAGACATGGGCATCACGGACTCTGGGAGAAGGCGTATTGAAAACCCCAGGTCACCTAAGTCAACAGCTGGGATTGATCAGAGGGATGCAGGTTGAGACACCTCTGCAGTGTGGAGCATAGAGGACCCATGCTGTCATACCCTGTGTGACATCATGAGGTCAATGAAAGCTGTGGCAAGAGCTGAGGCAAGGCTGAGGCTGAGAAATGGCCATTGGTATTCCAAGCTCAGATATCAGAAATTAGCATTCAATACAAGTGACACTCCCAATGCTGTGCTGAACTCATACAACACAAACCAAGAACTGTAGCCTTGGACCCAGTTGCCAAACCCTAATCTCTATACCCATGGGGCTAAGAGATTCATTATCTGTCTATCTATCTATCTATCTATCTATCTATCTATCTATCTATCTATCTATCTTTTTATTTATTACCTTTCTCAATGATTGGAAAAACGAAAGGAAGATTTTGTTTTTGCATGTGTATATGTCTATGTTGTGTATGTGTGTATGCATGTTTGTGTGTATAAGGATACACATGTGTATATCTATATCTATATCTATATCTATATCTATATCTATATCTATATATATATGCCAGATTTTGGAATTAAGTCAATGGGTATTTTTCCTACATAGCAGTCTTTCACTGACCCCTTACTGATTCCACTAGTGTAGCTACCCTAGGGACCTCTGGTCTCTGCCTCTCAAGTGCTGGGATTACCCGAAGGTGACCATGCCAGCCTGGCTTTTTTTTAAATCTGGATGATGGGATTTGAACTCTGGTCTTCACACCAGAGTTCATACACTGTATGGCATACATTTTATCCACTGAGCTATCTCCCCTGCCTTAAAGGAAGATTTTGTGATATGAAACTCATACGGAATTACTACAAGTCCCAAGATAAGATGCTAATTTAAGTAGAATGTGAACAATGCTTGTTGTAGACCCCCTATTCTGAGTTTACTACATATCCTAATCTGTCAAGAATTGATGGATATGTCTTTCTCCCCCATTCAAGCCTTGTCATGAGGGGTTGTTAGCAATGAGGCAGCCATACTGTTCTGAGATCAGCCCCCATCTTTCTTTGTTTATTCTTTCTCTCTTTGATGCAGTGCAGGGAACCATGGACTTGACCTGGTCTAGCATGTCAGGGAGGCATGCGTCATAATCATAGGTTTCTTCTGGTTAGGGTCTTTGGTTCCTGGGGCACTGTGTGCACCTTTCAGTTCCTGAGACGCTCAGGTCCTGCAAGCGTACAGACTACTGGTGTTTCTGTGTTCCCTAGACGTCAGCAAAGCATATAGAAGCTCGACAGGACAATTGGTCTTAGACATTATCCTTGTGGACCCTCTATGGCTTGCAAATGTCACTGTATCCCGGAACAGCCATTGTATTGTTTCTGATAAGGGTATACAAAGTCTGATTGCTTGCAATAAACTGTCACAGGCATAGTCTTGCTGTGGCACCTCCATCCAGGCCTGGTTTTCATTCCTACCAACCATAATAAGGTAACCCTGTCTCGGTAAGTAAGTGCTGGCACTTAGAATACAGGGTCTCTTGTATCCTAGGTTGACCTTGAACTCACTGTGTAGCTAAAGATGGCCTTGAATTCCTGATCCCCCTGCCACTGCTTCCCTAGTGTGTAGATACAGGTGTGCGTTATTTACTCTTCTGTTGCTGTGATAAACACTGTCCAAAGCAACTTTGGGGAGGAAAGTGTTTATTTCAGCTTACTGGTCACAGTCCAGTATCCAGGGAAGACAAGACAGAGACTCGGGGCAGTTACTGAAAGCTGTAACTGAGGCAGAGACCATGGCCTAGAGCAGTGGTTCTCAACCTTCCTGATGCTGACACCCTTTAATAAGTTCCTCATGTTGACCCCCAACCATAAAATTATTTTGTTGCTAATTCATAACTGCAATTTTGCTACTTTTATGAATGGTAATGTTCATATTTTCCAATAGTCTCAGGCAACCCCTGTGAAAGGGTCGGTCCACGCCCCAAGGGGGCCATGACTTACAGGTTGGGAATGCTTGCTGCAGAGGGATGTTGCTGAATGAATGGACTGGCTCCTCTGGCTCGCTCAGCTAGCTTTCTTAGACAGCTCAGGCCTGTGTGGCTAGGGATAGCACCACCTACAGTGGACTGGATCCTTCTGTGCCAGTCAGCAATAAAGAAAATGACTCATAGGAGTGCATTCAGGCCAGCCTGATGGAGGCAGTTTCTCAATTGCCCGTTGTCCTTTGCAGGTGTGCCAAACTGCCAACCAAGATTAGTTATTGCAAGGTGAGCCATTGTGCCTGGTGTAAGAGTCAAACTCAGGACTTTGCCTGGGCAAGGAAAACCCTGTATCAACTGAAACACCCCCTTCCAAAGATCAGTGTGTGAACATGGTACTGAGGGGAGACAGGGTGAGTGCACCAGCAGAAAGGGCTAATGAGACAGAAATTCAAAACTCTGGAAGTAAACTGTTCCTCTTGCCTTTCCTCCCTCTCCTTTCCCTCTTCCCTCCCTCCTACCCCGCTCCCACTCCTCATACCCCAGTCAGCAGAAAGAGCACAGGGCCTTCCAATCCTGGGTCCTGGAGTGAGGTCCTTCAGGATTGCTGCTGTGTGTGCTTCCTGCAACGCTGTCTGTTGCAGGCAGCTCCTGATGGTCAAGCTCAGCACACACAAAACATCATCATCACCTGAAACACACAGCCTAATTAAAAACTGCAGATTGAAGATCTGCCGTGTGCCATTTACATCAGCACAGAGTAAATGACAAGCACGAGAGCCAGGGCGGCTCAGGCCATTGGAAACACTTCAGGCCATAGCTACTATACGCTACACCTGCATTTGGAGATGGTGTGGCACGATATAATGAGGAACTAGCCTTGCTAACTGATTTCTGACTTGTAGCTCACCCCTTAGGAAGTGGAACAAGTATATCGGCTCTAACAGTAGATAAGAGCAGGAGCTGGGAAGCCTCCCCAGAGCCCAGACAAACCCAAGGAGTGGTATCCAGACTGTAGGCTGTTTTCCTGCAGTGCCCGGAGCAATCTTCAGGGGCTGAGTCCAGGGGAGGTGAGCACAGGGCAATCTTCAGGGGCTGAGTCCAGGGTGGGAGCATGGGGCAATTTTCAGGGGCTCAGTCTGGGAGGGGAGCACGGAACAATCTTCAGGGACTGAGTCCAGGAGTGGGAGCATGGGACAATCTTCAGGGGCTGAGTTCAGGGCGGGGGGAGCACGAGGCAATCTTCAGGGGCTGAGTTTGGGAGGGGGAGCACGAGGCAATCTTCAGGGGCTGAGTTTGGGAGGGGGCGCTCGAGGGTGGGGGTGAGGGGAGTAAGGGGGAAACATCACCAAGCAAAGTTTCTGGCACAGCAGGAAAGAGAGGTACACAGAAGGGTCCCTTAGCACAAGCGAGACTATCTCAGGTGACAGGAAGAGGGGAAAGTGACTCAGAGCGCACTTTAATAAACAAATATTGTTTTTGCAAAGGGGAGAAGGGCAGGAGATGACTGTGTGTTTGGGGTTCCATTAATAATATTAATTATGTACAGCAGGTGATGGTATCGCCCATTCACAGCTAAGACTGACCAACAGATAACTGTTAGGATCCCAGAAAGAACTTGGGTACCACCATCACCCTAAAGAAAGCTGTCAGTTAAAAAAAAAATTCTTCCATAGAAAACACTTCACCATTAAATTGAACAAGCAAACAAAACAGCTGCTTTGCCCAGGTACCCTGAGTTTGAATAGGCAGGAAAAGCAAAACAATTCTTATGGATACAGTCTTTGTGGCACAGAGCCCGCAATTAAAGAGACAAAGACAGTTCAGTGAATAGCACATTAGAAATAATGATTAAAATTCCAAGTGTTATCCTCAGTAACCCTTGCCGAGTGTCAGAGAAGCC